AACCCTACCACAAACCATGTAAACCCTATCAACCCTACAGAACCCTAGTCCCTTAGAGTCCACGAGCCGTCTAAACCCTATGAAGCCTCTAAACCCTATAAACACTCTAGACCCTAGACCCTATAAACCCCCTTGAGGATCGGAGCTCAGATCAAGCCTATATAACTGAAGGGGTCGACACGCGTCAGTGAGCCGAAAATCAAGGTGCTTGATGCATGGCGATGTCCTAACGCCCTAAACTCAAGGCCCGAAAGCCCTGCATACAACCCTATGAAACCCTGAAACCCTGAACCGAAAGCACGAAGCCCTATATAACCCTAACAAGCCCTGAAACCCCAAACCATTTGTCGGATCTCCGCGCAATCTTCCTGGGAGCTTTTTGTCTTATGGGCTTGGGCTTTTGTTGGGCTCGGGGGCCATTTTGGGGTTTAGGGTCTAGGCTTTAGGCTTTAGGCTTTAGGCCTTAGGCCTTAGGCTTTAGGCTATCTTGTGAGGCATTTGGGTTCAGCGGGGTCAGGGTTTCAGTAGGCGGCGCAGGGGGAGGAAGGGGAGGAAGGTTGTGACGTCAAGCAAGGCAAGGGGAGGTACCCAGCCATTCCTGAAGGTTTAGGGTTTAGGGTTTAGGGTTTAGAGTTTAGGGTTTAGGGTTTAGGGTTTAGGGTTTAGGGTTTAGGGTTTAGGGTTCTGAGATTACTCTGGACCTGGGTCGGTGCGAGCTGTGGCTTTGCGAGTTTGTTCTGCGAAGGCGAAGGGTTGATCTTCGGTTACACCCTGAACCCTACCCCCTGAACCCAATCCCTAAACCCTAAACCCTAAACCCTAAACGCTAAACCCCCTCTTTCCCCACCGAGCAGGACAAGACCTCGTTGTTGACTCTCGCCTCCGCTGCCCTCTACCAGCAGCCAAGGGCCTAGATATGCGCCACCGGGTCTAGGAATTAGGGGTTAAAGTTTAGGGTTTAGGGTGTAGGGTTTAGGGTTCAGGGTTCAGGGTTCAGGGATTGGCCTGAAACTCTATAACATACTCTATAACATGAACCCGGGAAGTCTGCCTCAACTGTGCCATATGCATGTGTATGTATATATAAAGAAACAGTTTTATGTACATATCTAGAACACGTACATGTCGTTATGCTGTTTGTATTTCGAGGTCTACTTGAGGTCTACTTATACTTTGATGCATTTGCAAATTTGCATGTTCACATACAGACTTAATTTACGCGCTTGCTTGTTTGAATTGTCTTCTTTTGTACATATATGTATATACATATATATATATATCACACACACACGCACATGCATATATATATATATGTATACGTATATTTATATATATATATATATATATGTATATACAGATATGATGTATACATATACATATGTATATGTATATATACACATATGTATACATATACGTATACACATACATATACATATACATATACAGATACAGATACAGATACACATACACATACATACAGACATATATGTATATTCGTATATATATATATATATGCACATGCAGATATATGTACCTATAGCTGCATATACCACAATAAAGATATACAGATATACATATACCCATATACAAAGATATACATATATACATATATACATATATACATATATACATATATACATATATACATATATACATATATACATATATACACATATACATATATACATATATACATATATACATATACACACATATATGTATATATACATACATATTATATACATATATACATATATACGTTTACACACACATATATCTATGTGTATGTATGTGTGTATATGTGCGCACCATGCATGCCACAACACCAAACGATGTCGTGCGAGCTGGACGATGGCAGTCTAGGGCATGCGCACACAGAGCCCAATAAAGGCATACCCTTGGAGGTTGTTTTGGGTTTGGGGTTCAGGGTTTGGGGTTTAGGGTTTAGGGTTTAGGGGGGTTAGGGGGTATAGGGTGTTGGAGAAATGTACCTAGCACATGACTTTGACCCTGGTGTTTGTGTTTATGACTCTGGTTTGGGATGTTCACCCTTACACGAACAGTCCTTAATAGGGATTATCGTACCCCTACTGTAATCCCTAGTGTGGACGGCTAGTGTAAGGTGGAACATCCCAAATTCTACTGTGCATTTGCATTCATTTAAGGTGATGTGCCATCCCAAACCAACCTGAACTTCTGATTCTTGAAGCTCCATGTTGCTCTTGAGGTCCTTGTTGGGAACGGTGTGGGGTTTAGGGTTTAGGGTTTGGGGTTGGGAACGGTGTAGGGCTTGTGGTGTAGGGTGTAGGGCTTGTGTTGAGTGATCCTTTGGATGGATGAGGAAGTGTACGGAATTAGGCGACCCACTTTTGGAAGAGGCTTACCTCGCCTTCAGCTGAACTTTAAACTTTCTGGGTTTCCTTATTTAGCAGGAATGTTGAAGTTTAGCTTTTTTCTCTTTGGGGTTCAGGGGCTTGGGGTGCGTCCAGGGCTTACGAAGAAGAACTTCGGTTTTCGGTGTTGCTATTTGCGTCACTCAATCGAAACCCTTATCCCTTCGGTCTCTAAACCCTAAACCCTAAACCCTAAACCCTCAACCCTCAACCCTCAACCCTAAACCCTAAACCCTAAACCCTAAACCCTAAACCCTAAACCCTAAACCCAACAATAAAGCCCTACACCCCAGACCTAAGCCGTGTAAAGCAGGAACCTTGGACCCAAGACCCGTTCAGGGGGTTTCTTGACAAGCTGACAAATCGTGTGAGCCCGAAGCCCGAAACCTAAACCCTAACTGGGGGAGTTCTCGGAGAAGAGCTGGGGTTGAGAGGTTTAGGGTCACCAGCCTCATTTGCAAGGATACTGACATATCAGTCCTAAACCCTAAACCCTAAACTCTAAACCCTAAACCCTAAACCTCAGAGGCAGTCGCCAGGTTCAGACGCAGACGCGTGCCTTCGAATCTCGCGCATTTTCGTTGCCTTGGCTCTCGGCCCACGGTCAAGTCTGCGAAGGGTCAGACAGAAAAACGGATGCGGCCAACAACACAGCGTCGTAGGGTCAGCTTGAGTAGGGTCCCAAAGGATCCGAAGTACCTACATAGTACTAAGTAGGGGTTTCTATAATAGGAATTACTATTATGGTTTGGGTAAGTGTCCCCCATATAGGTACTTAGGACCCTTTGGGGGTCAGCTTGCGGTGTCTGCGTCGATTGCGTCGCTAGTTAGTTGCCAAAGCGCCTCGAAGCCATGGTCATCACGCGGGAGACGAACGTGAATTCCAGGAGCATGTCCAACTCACTCGAGCTTCGAGCTGCTGTGGAGGAGGAAGAGCCACCCAGTTGGTTCTTAGCAACGAGGGAATTGGTGCTCCCCATCGAATCCTTTCAAAGGGTTGTATGAGGGATATTCGCGGTACCGGGCTCCCTGGTCCCCTGTTATTGAACTCACCAGAAAACATAGCAAACCCTACTAGCCTCAACCCTAAGTAAGCCGCCACAGTCTCCGGCTCGAAGAACGAGTAAGGAAAGACATCCTTCATTGCTCTCATCCTTCGAAAGACAGCGAGCTCTTGCTCGAGCCTGGCATTCGCGATGTCGAGCGCCGCATCTTTGCCGTGGAACACAGGAGCAACTTCAAAGTGGCTTCGGAAAGCAGGATCTGGGGCAGGGTTTAGGGTTTAGGGTTCAGGATTTATGGTTTAGGGATTAGGGGTAAGGGATTCAAGTGGGGGTTATCGAAATTAGGTACCCAGAGGCTCCAATACCCCGTAATGAAGAATATTCCTTAAACCGTTTTAAGGAACCCTCTTCTACTTCCTCCACTATGGGGTATTGGAGTCTCCGGGTACCTTATTCGGTTCCTCATGAGAAAGGCATCCTACTAGTTGGGAGTGTACATTAGGGGTCCGTTCATTTCGAAAACCCCAAATGGGCATTTCCAAAAATTGGCGGTTACCTCTTGAAACTAATGCCCATTGAAAGAGGATAATCCGCATAAGAGGACCCCCCCAAAAGAAAACAAACAAACAAAAAAGAAAATCAATAATAAGAATCAAATCAAAATATTACCAAAAAAGGCCCCCCAAATAGGTGCCCCAATAGATTCGCACACCAGAATATGCGATGAATAGACCGTCTGACCCGCATGTCTTCTGCCGGAGCCAATACTTGGTAGCCCAGTGGTGCCCTTTTCCCTTTTTGGGGTTCAAGGTTCCCTTATAAAGAAACCAACCCCAAAAAGGGTGCGCCCTTATGATAGTATGCTTCCTGGGCTACCAAGAAGAGTTGAGCTGCAGGATGACCGCGATGTTGCAACTGCTTCTGGAAGACCACGAGCGCCTCCTGAACACACTTTCTGCGTCCCGCAGCGTGTGCGCAAGGCTTCCTGGCCCAACTTTGGGTTTACCTGGGGCTCCATTTGCCTACGATTTTTTTCCCGCCGCGGGGGGGGAGGGGGGGGTATTCCTTATTTAGGGGGGGGGGGGTTATAATCCCAAACCCTAATCCCTAAACCCCCAGGCCCTAAGCCCTATTATAACCGGCTGTTTTTGAAGGGTTTGAAAGGTCACAGTTAGGCTTAGGCCTACACCAGTGGTGACGTTTTCCTGGTGCTGGGCTCCTGGCTAAGAGCTTTTCTTTCTCAAGTCAGTGGTACAACCTTGGGATGATCCCCCTCCTACTAACCTGGCTGGGGGTTTAGGGTTTAGGGTTTCGGGGTTTGGGGTTTGGGGTTTAGGGTTGGGATGTTCCCCCTTCAACGAACAGTCCTGCATAGGGATCCGAGTACGACCCTATTCGAGACCCCATTAAGAACTCTTAGTATAAGGGGGAACATCCCAAGTGGCTAAACCTTAAACCCTAAACCCTAAACCCTAAAGCCTAAAAGCCTAAAAGCCTAAAAGCCTCAAACCCTAAACCCTAAACCCTAAACCCTAAGCCCTAAACCCTAAACCCTAAACCCTAAACCCATCTCTGCTTGTTGCCGGGGTGGAGGGTTGGCCAGGTCGCCGAGGCCGCCGCATTCGACATCGTGTCCCCCGATTCCACAAGTCCCTTGCTGTTGGTTTAGAGTTTAGGGTTTAGGGAATGAGGGAATGAGAAGGAATGAGAAGGAATGAGAAGGAATGAGAAGGAATGAGAAGGAATGAGAAGGAATGAGAAGGAATGAGGGAATCAACATCCCCCTATATATGCCCTTCAAGGGATTATATAGGATACCTCATTCCCTCATTCCCTACGAACCAACAATAAGGTCCAGCCGCGTGCTGGCTCCAGCAGCTCCGTCAGAAGCGTGCGAGCCGAGGACGGCAACCGGCTTCTGATGGACGCCCAGTCGCAGTGTGCACCCAGGAAGGTCACGAAGCTCATGCAGGTGCTACCCGAAGGAGAACCGACCGTTCTGCCCCAGCAATCTGATGCGAAAGAAGCCGGATGCTTGTCGGTGAAGCAGGTTGTTGCCGAGCGGGCGGCGCACCTGTCCAGGCTGCGATCGGCAAGCTGCACCTTCGAGGTCGCCCTGCCATCGTTGCTCCAGGGCCAAGGATCAGGTTTTGGCTCCTGCTGCTTCAAGTTTTGGATGCTGGGATGCACGAGGATGCCCTGTAGTACCCTTTTGCCCTTTTTTCAAGAGGGCTTAGGCTCCCCTCTAAACGGGCACCTTTATTGCTCCTAGGTTACTGGGCAACCTAGTATGGCAGATGAACATGTAGCAGCAACTTTCAACTTTCGGCTGTTGCATGGACTGTTGTTCCGGACCTGTCCGTAAACTACAGTAGACTAGAATGCCGCTAAGTAGAGCGTGCTCTATGTGTCATGCCCCTTGTTTCAGCAAAACGCTTCGGTATAGCTTGCTGTGATGTCTTCTTGCGCGGTTGCTACAGCCCTATAAATCCCTAAACACACAAAACCCACAACCTAGCCCTAAACCCTAGACCCCAAACCCTAAACGGAGACGTCCAAGGAGGGGTGTGCTAGCGGTCTGCGGAGCATCCGCAATGTGGGACTCTTCCCGAACAGATGCAGCACAGTGCCTGGGTGGGGTTTAGGATTGAGGGTCTATAGGGTTGAGGGTTTAGGGTTTCGGGTTCAGTGTTGAGGTTTGAGGGTTGAGGGTTTAGGGTTAAGTTAAGGGTTTAGGGTTTTGGGCTGAGGGTTTAGGGTTTAGGGCTTGGGGTTGAGGGTTGAGGGTTTAGGGTTTAGTGCTTAGGGCTCAGGGTTGAGGTTGAGGGTGGATGGTTGAGGGTTTGGGAGGAAAACACGAAACTAGCGGATGCCCAAAGTTCTTACTGGCTCAAAACCCAACTTTTCAACTTTTGGGCTTCATATACGGTAGTTTATTCTGAAAGTTTCAACCTTTATTTCCTTGGGTTTTGGGCCAGTAAGAGTTGCTTAGGGTTTAAGAACTGGTGGTCCATCGGGCAGTTGACTCTTAAACCCCTAAACCCCTAAACCCCTAAACCCCTAAACCCCTAAACCCCTAAACCCCTAAACCCCTAAACCCCTAAACCCCTAAACCCCTAAACCCCTAAACCCTAAACCCCTAAACCCTAAACCTTCAAGGGGCAGGGCCAGGTAGAACTCCCGGAACCCATGCCTGTTACAATTTTCAGCCCCACCTAAAGGCTCCAATGTAGTTTTCTGGATCTAGTTATAGGGGAGTATAGTTATATAACTTTTGTAACCTTAAGAAAAAGTACATAGGAGCCATTAGGTAAGCCCTTGCAAGCCTTGATTTCAGAACCATATCCAAGGAGATGCCGGCACTTCTTGCACGTGGCTGTCACCGTCGTCCTTTCCATTCTGGCAGTTTTGGTAGGCGTCGCTGTTTATTTACTGTACTCTTGTAGCATGCCTCCAAAGTGGAAACCCTAAACCCTAAACCCTAAACCCTAAACCCTAAACCCTAAACCCTAAACCCTAAACCCTAAACCCTAAATTACCTTAAACCCGGAAGCCCTGCAGGACTTATCCGCTTCATCAACTTAGTGCCCCAGGAGGTCGAGCCCTTGCGCGATCTTACCAGCTCTGCCGCCTTCACAACAGACATTGCACCTTGTCATTCAATTCTGGGGATGTCCCACAAGAGTATGTTGTGTTTGTAGTTTGTTTTTTTTGGTGTGGGGGGGGGGGGGGGGAGGTTTGTCCTTCATCCGTGGATAGGGTTTAGGGTTTAGGGTTTAGGGTTTAGGGTTTAGGGTTTAGGGCTCGATTTGGGATGTACATTTTGGGGGGAGAAGCACCCGGGCCATGGCGCCTTAGACCGAAGCGCTGGCAGTTTGAACCTTAATCTCTGCTCTTGCCCTTGACCATGATTTTAAACCCTAAACCCTAAACCCTAAACCCTAAACCCTAAACCCTAAACCCTAAACCCTAAACCCTAAACCCTAAACCCTAAACCTGCCCAAACAAGAGTCCTTGCAATGCAAGATTGTTGGCCTGGCAGCTCCGCTGTGCCTGAGCGTCCTTGGAGGCGGAAGCTGTCTTTCTGAAGCTGACAGGGTTTAGGGTTTAGGGTTTAGGCTTTGGGGTTTAGGGTTTCGGGTTTAGGGTTTAGGGTCCGTAGCAAGCTGACAGGGTTTGGGCATGGTTGGACACACTACCTAAAGGCTCCTATGTTGTACCTTATTTGGTAATACGCTAGAATACCCTAGAACGAATCCAAAAAGGGACTGAATCACAGACTCCAGGTAGGCATGCTTTACGAAAGAATTCTCCAATCGTACCGTGGCAGACTGTAGTCTGATAGTGTGACTCCATAGAAAATTTGTGTGAACTGTAATGTACTGTCGTGTGCTGTAGCGTTCTTGGTTGATAGGTTGTTGGGTCCTGGTTCTGCGGCTCGGGCGTTTCGCAGGTTTCGGAATCTGAGTTAGCAGTTTTCGTTTCCAATCTTTCTGGGTCTTGCGGGTTAGTGTTCGGGTGCTGCAGTCAGGGTTCGTGCTCACCGTAAAGCTGCAAGCTCCCAAAGCCACCCTAAAACCCTGCAACCCTCAAGCTATAAAACTTGTGATGTTCCCCAGGATACTTACAGACCTTGATAGGGATTCCAGTACCCCTGTTATAGTCCCCATTAAGGACAAAAAAGGAAACCTCCATTTGCGAGGCGTGACGCCTGGTACATATGCACGGCGAATGGAGTCTCGTTGCAAGTTGGTGTGCTGCTCAGAGTCCAAGGTTTCGCGGCTACCGATGGTGACTGTTGGCAGCTTCAGTATGCTCAGGGTCTCTCAACCAGTCTTGGGGTAGTTTCATGGTCCATTATGTATGCCCTTACGTATGGGCCCTTAAAACGGGCCTCCTTATATACCCCTTATATACCGCCCTATACAACCCAAGGGTCCAGACTTCAGAGCCCTTTGAAGGAGTTAAGGGACCATATTGAGGGCCCATGTAACCACTCTTAGAACCAGGATGTTAACAGAAAGGGAGGGGTTCCATGCCAGCAATACGGGGTAGGCCTTCACGGCCTTTGGGGACATGAGGGCGCAGCTTACATGAAGCCCGTAACAGGCTGGTCGTATGTGATTTCTTCACATCATGTGGGAGCTTTAACAGCATCAAATTGGCGCTCGGGGTACGCGAAAGGCTGTCACCCACAATCCCCCGAGAGCGAGTGAGGTGGCGCCGTCCTTGCCTTTTCAGACGTTGCGCACGAAGATGCCTTAAGCCCTTGCCCCAAACCCTAAGCCGCCTTATATACACCCTGCCCCCTTGACTCTTCACCCTGAACCCCAAGCTTTCGAAGTAGTTCTAAATAAAATAGTAGTTCTCGTAGTAGCAGTTGTCATAACATAGTAGCTATAATCGTCAGGGTACTGGTATTAGCAAGTATGTCTTCCCCTAAACCCTCAACCCTCAACCCTCAACCCTCCACCCTAAACCCTAAACCCTAAACCCTAAACCCTAAACCCTAAACCCTACAAAACATTTTGAGTCCTGCTGCAGGCCCGAAGTCCCCCGCATCCTTCGTACTGCTATACTCCTGGGCTCCTGGGGGACGCCCGCAACCCTCACCCCTAAACCCTAAACCCTGATCCCTAAACCCTAAACCCTAACCTCTAAACCCCTAAACCCCTAAACCCGAATTGTGTTGTAGTGTACTTGCCCTTGATTTGCAAGCACAACCAGTGGCGGAGAAGAATAGAACTTCTCCACGATGCTCAATAATGATAGCCTGCACGCCTAAAGGCATGCTGCTCACCCAAAGTGACGTATGCGCACACAAGTGGACACAGAAGACTAGAAAGTCTCCGCAGCACGAAGCAAGCGGACAGGATTGCTAGGCAAGTGAGACTGCCTGAACCTGAAGCAAGCTCGGCAGGGACGCCAGGCAAAAGGAGGATTGCCTGGCACAGTGGCGAAACTCAAGGGAACCAAGTAACCAAACCTAAACCCCTAAACCCCTAAACCCCTAAACCCCTAAACCCCTAAACCCCTAAACCCCTAAACCCCTAAACCCCTAAACCCCTAAACCCCTAAACCCCTGAACCCCTACACTTAAACCCCTAAACCCCTAAACCCTAAACCCCTAAACCCTAAACCCTAAACCCTAAACCCTAGTTCTTCGAGGCCCTCCTCACCCCCCCCCCCCCTTTTTCCCCTGTCATGGAGCCCACCCATGGCGCCAGCAGCGTATCTGAGCCAGAGCTAAGCCGTAAACCCCTTTATCCCAAACTGAGACAGAAAAGGGCAGAGCGATAGAGAGAGCGAGAGAAGCAAAAACTGATACAAAAAGAAAGAAAGACAGAAAGAAAGACAGAAAGAAAGAGAGAAAGAACTTCAGAAAGAAAGAAAGAAATAAAGAACGAACGACCACATAGGCAAAGAAAACAAGAAAGACAGCAAGAAACAAATGGAGCTGACCCTGCGTTGGGCTGGACAAACAACCCCCCCCCCCCCCCCCCCCCGCCCATGTGTTCTATAGCCCTCTTGGGATTTATTTGTCTAGTGTTATCTATGTGAGACCCAAGGGAGTAGTAATTGAAAACATACCTTTGTTAAGGTGACAAGGGGGCTATAGCGTTGCTCTTCCGAAGGTTTTAACCCTGGACCCGACCTCTGGATCACCTCACGCTAAATCCCCTTGAAAGCGATCAGTGGATTAGGGTTTAGGGTTTAGGGTTTATAACCCTATAGGGTTTACCCTATAGGGTTTAGCGCAAAGCGATCAGAGGATTTCCTGCGGGATTCGCTTCGATATTTGGGAGCTCTGCTGAACGACAACAAGCTCACGGAGGAGTGGCGAAACGTTGTGGGGAAAGACCTGATGCGGCTCACATCGGACTCTTGGGCTATAGATGGCGTGCTTCAGGACGTGCTGCTTCTTAGGAATGTGGGCATGTAGGACACCTGACACCCTAGAGAACTTCTTAAAGGGCATATGTATCAGGGGATGTAAGGTGCCTCCTGGCCCGCCTTCCCTTCTGAGAATCAGTAAGAAGGCTCAGCGCTTGTGAGTTTAGTGTTTTTAAGGTTTAGGGTTTAGGGTTTAGGGTTTAGGGTTCTTTCGCTTCAGGGAGCTGCGGAAACATGTTGCTTGTGTCCGCACGGCTTGCAGCCTCAGATAGATTCGGAAAGTTGCCCCGCGTCCCCCCAACTGTGCGCACATCGACCTTTCAGTCCTCAATATGGTCCCTTTCTACCCTTGCGCCTCATGATCATGCCAGTCTCTCAGCCACGTTGAAACCCTAAACCCTAAACTCAGAACGCGATGCCGAAGGCATGGTTCTCGATCTGCACTTTGAGGGTTGCATCCACGGTGCTGCTGCATGACCTCGCCCCTGTGCTGCGGCCGCAGTTGAGGGTTAGGGTTTAGGGCAGTTTAGGGTTTAGGGTTTATAGGGTTTAGGGTTTAGGCCTTAACTTCAGGGTTCAGGTTAGATGTATTCGTATTGACAGGCCATTGCCTTTCCTCGCAAAACCATAAACCCGCCAACCCTCGAATCACCTGTGCTGTTGGGCACCACGGGGCCAGATGATTCCGAGTCAGCAATAGAAAGGGTGCTCGGTGTTCAAGTTTATGATCGCCAGCCCCAAACTAAAAAAAAACCAAACCCTAAATCCTAAACCCTAAACCCCAAACCGTATATCCTAAACCCTGAACCCTAAACCCCAAACTCTAAATCCTAAACCCTAAACCCCAAACCCTGAACCCTCAAACCCTAATCTCTGCTTCCCCGGTGTAGTTGCGACGTCCAGGCCTCAGTCCCATGCGACCGAAAGCGCTTAGACAAACCGTTAGAGCCTTCCGGGTTGCCTCAAGGGCCTTGGGCGTTTTTATTTATCATTCTTTTTCAGGGTTTAGGGTTTGGGGTTTAGAGTTTAGGGTTTAGGGTTCAGGGTTTAGGGTTTAGAGTTTATAAGGTTTAGGGTTGGGCTCTTAAACGCACAGCCAGCCGGGTTTAGATTGTCGGATTTCAGAAGCCGCAAGCCCCAATTATCTCATAAACCCTCAACCCCTCAGTGTTACGAGTGGGGGTGGCCCGGGGGGTGGATGAGTCTTCAGGCTGACACGCCTTGCGAGTTCGGGACCCTCAGCAAACCCTGATCCCCTATTAAAGCCGAAGCAAATCCCTAAGCTGTGAAGCCCAAGCTCTCAGGGCCCTGTTTAGGGTTTCGGGTTTAGGGTTTAGGGTTTAGGGTTGAGTCTCAGCAAACAAAGCAAGGCGTCAATGGCTTGTATGCTCTGCTTCGTGGTCTTCGCGTCCGTGCTCACGGCCGTAGGCTTCTGCTGTTGACATGTCCTTCTCTCAGACCCAGACTTGGCCCTCATTCCTTCTTTTGTAGGGTTTAGGGTTAGGGTTGAAGGTCCTTGTCTAGGATCCAGACTAGGCCCTCATTCCCCTTTTTTCGGGGTCTACTATATGTTCGCAAGACGGAAATTTCGCCCCCTCGTAAACCTTTAGAAATCGTTTCCCGCGGGCCCCGAAAGCCTCAAGCCTGTACTTTAAGGTTCCTGGGCACTTGTCAGTAGGGTTCTAAATGCCACAAGTGGGGTTACAATCATAGTTACCCTACATATAAGCATCCTAAACCCTAAATCCTAATTAAACCCTAAACCCTAAACCCCCTACGTAGAAAAGGCACCCTTTTGAACCTCCATCGTCTGCCCTGAGACCCCCGGACAGGCTTCGTGCTCATAGCCACCTGGCGAGGGCTGGGCCTAGGGTTTAGGGTCTAGGGTCTAGGGTCTAGGGTCCAGGGCTTCGGGTTTTGGGGGTTGGGTTTAGGGGTTTTCGCATCCCTGCCCCCCCCCCCCCACCCCCCCCCCCACCCCCCCCCCCCACCCCCCCCCCCCACCCCCCCCCCCACCCCCCGCCCCCACCCCCCCCCCACCACCCACCCCCCCCCCCCACCCCACCCCCCCCACCCCCCCCCCACCCCCCCCCCCCACCCCGCCACCCCCCCCCCCCCCCACCCCCCCCACCCCCCTTTCAACCATGTCTGTCTTTAGGGTTCAGGATCTTTAGGGTTCGGGGTTTTAAAAGCTTGTAGGTTGCTGTTTGCTTAAGAGCCCCCCCCCCCCCACAAAAAAAACAAAAAAAACTCCAGAAAGGGCAATAGAGGGGAATTTCTTGTGTTTTTTGGTTGGGGTTCTTCAGGAAATAGTAGGTCATCGTCCCCTGAACACTGTCGGCCTTTGACCTTGAACCTTCGATCCTGGTTTAAGGCTTGGGAGAGGGAGTGCAGACAGACGTGTTTTACCTGGCTCCAAACCGAGGTTCACCGACCCTTTCAGAGAACAGGACGTGGACCTCGCTGTCGTGCAAGGTGAGTGGAGAGAGCTGGGCGCTTGCATGCGCTCTATGTCGCACGCTTTGCAAGTGTGCATCGTGGTATTGGCACTGACTGTGGGCACAGGGTTGATCGCAGTGGCGTTTGACGTGCTTAGAGACGGGTTTGCTTTGACCATGCTCCCGGCGGTGCTCTTCTTTGCCTTGCTGACAGCAACTTTGCTCCCCGCGGCGCTTGCAAGCTCGGCGTGTGCTCGTTTTCCTTCCTTCGTTGCCATCTACGACCCTGGCCCGGAGATGGCAGAGAACTTCATTCGGTTCGCAGACTTTGTCGCAATGACCGATTGCGGGTGCTTCCTGTGGGAGACAAAGCTGACGGCAGGGCTTCTTCAACGCGCGATGTCCATCACCATAGCGCTGGCTGCGGCCATCTACCGCAGCGGGATCCTGGTAAACTAGGGGGCCGATTTTAAGCTAACTAGCACCCTTCTAGTTCGCAATGCTACTCAATGACTCAAGAGCCTAATTGGCTCTTCAGCTCACATTTTCCCCTGTCGACTTGAGCATTTAACGCTACAATTCCACCAGTCGGCGGGAGCATTTACGGCCACATTTTCGCCTCGTTCATGGCCTTGTTTTCGCGAGGTGGCAACGCGCAAGACATCGTCGATCTGACTGACGAGCCGAACTGCACCCTTTAATTTTGGGTTGGTTTTAAACCAAGCTCGCCCAGGGTACCCTAGCTTCAGGTGCTTAAGGGTCAAGTAACGGTTAAGGTTTAGGGTTGAGGGTTGAGGGAAGCGGTGAGTTGACACCACAAAACATGGTTTCCTCATCAAAAAGAGCCGGTCGGGAGAGGTCAGAAGCGTGGTGGGATGCGCGTGTCGCCAAAGTATTTGTGATGCAAAGCCTGGTCAGCAGGAAACCTTTCCGGGCTGCTTGGGAAAGAAGAGCTTATAAGCCATGAGTCACTGGGGAGTCCAATGAGTCCACAAGTAAATTGGGATACAAGTGTCATTGCAGTATGTTGTAGCTACTACACCATACTGCTGTTGTACTATAGCGCATAGGGTTTAGGGTTTTGGGCGTAGCAGGAGAAGAGTACTATCGATACCACAGCAGCGGCAAAATCTGGAAGTCGGCGATACCATTTGGTCTCAAGCTTTCGGAATTACGTTCGTTACCACGATCCCACAAAAGTGGGCCCTTCATTGGGGAACCTTTGTTACACCTTGTATGCCCCACCTAAAGACTGCTATGCAGTACCTGTTTTGGGGTAGTACACTAGAATCCCCTCTGACTAACCCAAAAAGAGACTACGTTCGAGTCCGTTAGAGAGGTATAAAGTCCTTACGGTCTTTCCAGGCAGCCAAAAGAAAGTCGAAGGAGCCTTGGCAACGGCTCTAACTTGGAGGTTCATGGGTACTTGTAACAGTCCTTAATAGCGATTTATAGTACCCCGCTATTATACTACTATAGTCCCCTATTACTATTCGGTTTAAGGGGAACATCCCAACTTATAAGCATTATAGGGTTAGAAGCAGCAACCATGGTTGTTGCTTTTTGGGGGGTCGTATGAACCTTCAAGTAGAATCCCTGCTGAAATCCTGCAAAAGTGCAAGCCATAGCTCTTCCCATTTGCCATTTACATGGGTTTAGGGTTTAGGGTTTAGGGTTTAGGGTTTAGGGTTTAGGGTTTAGGGTTTAGGGTTTAGGGTTTAGGGGTGAACCTGATTGGGTGGGCGCCGCAATGCATTCAGAGAAAACGGCATGGAGGTGGGCCTAGGATTATGCACTTTAGGCTGAAACGCATACCATGGACTGTCAGTCTAGTTTTCCTCGTGATCGGTTGATCTCAGGCCTCCCTGCCCACAGCGTTTCAACCCTGAAGAAAGATTGCAACTGAATCCAGCGATGGCTCCGGCGTGCCCTTACAGGTGGTGGCGGTGCCGGTGGTGTTGTTGTTGTTGTTGCCACAATGGGAGGGTGAATCCCCTTCCTCAACCCTAATTCGCAGGAGTTGGGTGTGCGAAACCCTAAACCCTAAACCCTATATAAACCCTAAACCCTAGACCCTAAACCCTAAACAGGTATCAAGTAAATCCCCGGCACTGCCATCCATTGCACGGGATCTGTGGACAATATGCCGTTGATCTGTGCACAAGTCGGCTGGTGCAAAGGATCATGAGGAGCTTGGGAAGGATGAGAGGGCTTGGGGCTTAGGATTTGGGCATAACCAAAAACTTCCAAAAACCCGAAATCTACCGGGAGTCTCTAATGTAGTCCCTGTTTTGGGTTAGCTATAGAGGATTCTAGTATGCTACCCCAAAAAGGTACTACATAGGAGCCTTCAGGTAGGCAATGTCAAGGAATGCGCGGGCTGAAGTACCACCAAGCGAAAAGGCCCTGTGGTCATCTCTCCGTTATATGACCGTCGTGTTTATATGTATGAGAGTAGTTATAGGGTTCTCAAGGGAGGGGGGTTCAAGGGGGGTAGGTACCTAGAGAACCTTGGGGCAGCTTAGGGGAACGCAAAGAACTAGTGTACATTTGCACAAGGTGAGGTGCCATCCTAAACCAACCTCAACCTCGGATTCTTGAAGCCCCAATGCTTTCTAGGGTTCTTCCGGGGGGGGGGGGTTCTAGGAGGGGTACGTAACCCAAGCTACTACCCCCCAAGGCTCCCTTTTCGCTTCCCTAAGGTTTTTCTACAGGCGCCTACCCCCCATGAACCCCCCCCCCCCCCTCTTAAGAACCCCTAGCTGTTGGTCTCGAGGTCCTTTAATGTTTGAGGAAATATACCGAATCTACTGTTTTTTGGGCGACCAGTTTTGGCAGAGGAGGGCCGAAGGTTTGGGGTTCAGGGGCTTGGTGTGTTGAGGGCTTGCGAACAAAGACTTCGGTTTTCGGGGTGTTGCCATGTGCGTCACTCAGTCGAAGCCCTATCTCTTCGTCTCAAAACGCGGACAAAACCCAAAACCCACAAACCTGAGCCGTGTAGAGCCTAAACCTTGGACCAGAGCCCTGTGAGCGTTTTGAGGGCTTACGGTAAAGGGTAAAGCTGACATGTGGGCCCGAAGCCCGAAACCTAAACCCTCATTGTGGGAGTTTCTCGGAGTCCAGTGGGTTGAGGGGGGGCCACCAGCCTTACAAGGATACTGACATATCAACCCCAAACCCTAAACCCTAAACCCCAAACCCTAAACCCCAAACCCTAAACCCTAAACCCTAAACCCTAAACCCTAAACCCTAAACCCTAAACCCTGAACCCTGAACCCTAAACCCTAAACCCTAAACCCTAAACCCTAAACCCTAAACCCTAAGCAGGCAGTCGCCAGGTTCAGGCGCAGGCGCCGTGAAATCTCGCGCATTTTTTGTTGGTTTGGCTTTCGGCCCATGGTCAAATCCGCCAAGGGGCAGGTCGAAAAAAACGGGATGCGGCCAACAAAGCAGCGTCATAGAGTCAGCTTAAGGTGTCTGCATCGCTAGTTTCTCAAGCCTCGAAGCCATGGTCCTCACGCGCGAGCCGAACGCGCTTTTCAGAAGTGTGTCCAACTCAACCGAGCTTCTCCGAATTCCTGTGGAGGATGAAGAGCTACCCAGTTGGTTCTTAGCAACGCTGAGGCAGATGGTGCTTCCTTATAATAAAAAATCCTTTAAAATGGGTTCTGTATGAGGGGTATTCGCGGTACCGGACTCCCTAGTCCCCCTATAGAAAACCCTATTAGACTCATGGTCTCCAGGTCGAAAAACGAGTAAGGAAAGACATCCTTCATTGTTCTCATCCTTCGAAAGACAGCGAGCTCTTGCTCGAACCTGGCGTTGCCGATGTTGAGCGCCGCATCTTTGCCGTGGAACACAGAAACAACTTCAAAGTGGCTTCGGAAAGCAGGATCTGGGGCCAGAGTCAAGTCGGGGGTATTGGCTCAAAACCAACTTTTCAACTTTTGGGCTTCTTATTAGGTAGTTTATTCTCAAAGTTTCAACTTTATTTTGGGCCAGTAAGAATTATAGCGCCCTTAGATCCTACTATTCGGGAGTCTATATTTGCCCATGAAAAGAGGATAGTCCTCATAAGAGGAATGCCCCCCCCCCCCCCCCCCCCCCCCCCCCCCCCCCCCCCCTCACCCCCCCCTTCATGGCCCCAAGTTTGGTACCCTAGTTGAGGGCAGCCTTCAAGTATATTTGCACAGCAGAACATGCGATGAATAGACAGTCGGACCAGCATGTCTTCTGCCAGAGCCAAGACTTGGTAGCCTGGTGGTGCCCTTTTCCCTTTTTGGGGTTCAAAGTTCCCTTATAAAGAAGCCAACCCCAAAGAGGGTGAGCCCTTATTATAGCTTGCTTGCTGGGCTACCACAAGAAGAGTTTAGCTGCAGGATGACCGCGATGTTGCAACTGCTCCTGGAGGACCATGCGCGCCTCCAGAGCACACTTGCTGGGTCCCGCAGCGTGTGCACAAGGCTCCCTTACCCAAATTTTTCCTGGGGCTCCATCTACCACATTTTTCCGGGGGGGGGGGGGGTTATGCCTCATGTAGGGAGGAGGGGGGGGGGTATAATCCTAGACCCTAAACCCTAAACTCTAAGCCCTATAAAGACCTGCCTTTTGTTATCGAAGTTAGCGTGCAACCTTGGGATGTTCCCCCATGAACAGGGATTCTAGTATCCCCCATGAGGGGGGAGCATCCGAAGTGCAAAAAACTGAAATGAAGAGCTTCTTTTGCTTTTTGCAGGGGAGGGCTGGCAGAGGTCCATGTCATACAAGCTGCCACAGTCGACATCGTTTCCCGCGGCTCCACCCGTCCAGCCGCGTGCTGGCACCAGCAGCTCCGTCAGAAGCGTGCGAGCCGAGGCCGGCAACCGGCTTCTGATGGACGCCCAGTCGCAGTGTGCACCCAGGAAGGTCACGAAGCTCATGCAGGTGCTACCCGAAGGAGAACCGACCGTTCTGCCCCGGCAATCTGATGCGAAAGAAGCCGGATGCTTGTCCGTGAAGCAGGTTGTTGCCGAGCGGGCGGCACAACAGTCCAGGTTGCGATCGGCAAGCTGCACCTTCGAGGCCGACCTGCCATTGTTGCTCCAGGGCCCAGAATCACGTATCTATATCCCCCCTTGGAAATTGCTGTCTATTTTTGTTTATATAAATCCTAAGAGGATATTGAAAATATTATTTTTCATTAAGGTTCTAAGGGGAGTATAGGTATTGGCTCCTGCTGCTTCAAGTTCTGGATGCTGGGATGTACTTATGGCAGATGAACATGTAGCTTTTCCGGACCTGTCTGTAAACTACAGTCGACTAGAAAGCCGCTAAGTAGAGCGTGATATATATGTCATGCCCCTTAGATCTTTCCGCAAAACCTTTCGGTATAGCTTGCTGTGATGTCTCCTTGTGCGTTCATAAAAACCCCCCAAAGCGCTAAACATGCAAAACCCTAAGCCTAACCCTAAACCGTAAACCCCGAACCCTAACCGGAGACCTCCCAGGAGGGGTGTCCTCGCGGTCTGTGGAGCAGCCGCAATGTGGGACCCTTCCCGAACAGACGCAGCACAGTGCCTGGGTGGGGGTTATGTAACTTAAAATCTAACGTTAAAAAGGAACTACATAGGAGCCATTAGGTAAAGCCTTATAAAGCTTGACCCCAGAATTCCAAGGAGATGCCGGCACTTCTTGCACGTGGCTGTCTCCGTCGTCCTCTCCATTCTCGCAGTTTTGGTAGGCTTCGCGGTTTATACCTAAAGGCTCCTGTGTAGTACCTTTTTGGGGTAGTACACTAGAATCCCGTGCAGTTAACCCCAAAAAGGGACAACATTAGAGACTCCATGTCTGCTGTACTCTTGTTGCACACCAGCACAAGCTTTTGTAGAGTCCCGTTCCGGAGTGGCAACCCTAAACCCTAAATCCTAAGCCCTAATTAAACCCTAAACCCCAAACCCCAAACCCTTCCTCGCTACTCCTCAGCCTTCACCAAAGCTCACCATCTCCACTACTTCCAACTGGGAACCCTAAACCCGAGACCCTAAACCCTAACCCTAAATAACCCTAGACCCTAAACCCTAAACCCTAAATAACCCTAAACCCCAGACCCTAAACCCTAAACCCTAAACCCTAAACCCTAAACCCTAAACCCGGAAGCCCTGCAGGACTTATCCGCTTCATCAGCTTGGTGCAACAGGAGGCCGAGGTCTTGGGCGCTCTCACCAGCGGTGCCACCTTCACAACAGACGTTGCGCCTTGGCATTCAATTCTGGGGATATCCCACAAACGTATGTTGGTGTTTATTGACTTTTGTGTTTTTCTTTTTGCGTGTGTGGGTGGGGGGGTTTAGGGTCTAGGGTTTAGGGTTTAGGGTTTAGGGTTTAGGGTTTGGGGGGGGGGCTTCATCCGTGGATAGTGCTCGGTTTTTTTTTTGGGGGGGGGGGGGGGGGGGGGGGGGTGGGGGCGAGCACCCAGGACATGGCGCCTTAGACCGAAGCCCTGGCAGTTTGAACCCTAAGCTCTGCTGCGGACCTTGATCTAAACCCTAAACCCTGAACCCTAAACCCTAAACCCTAAACCTGCCCAAACAAGAGTCCTTGCAATGCAAGATTGTTGGCCTGGCTGCTCCACTGTGCCTGAGCGTCCTTGGAGGCGGAAGCTGTCTTTCCGAAGCTGACAGGGTTTAGGGTTTGGGGTTTAGGGTTTGGGGTGTAGGGTTTAGGGTTTGGGCTGGGATGTTCCCCCTCATGGGTTTAGGGTCTTGGGTTTAGGGTTTAGTGTTTAGGGTTCCTCAATAGGGAGTATAGTACCCCCTACTATAATCCCTATTACGGACTGTTAGCACATAGGGGAACATCCCAAGATTTGGGCATTTTGGGGCACACTACGGCATGCTATACGAAAGAAGTCTGCACCGTGGCAGACTGCAGTCTCATAGTATACTCTAATGTACTGTAGTGTTCTGTAGCGTTCTTGGTTAATAGGTTGTTGGGTGCTGGTTCGGCGGCTTGGGCGTTTCGCAGGTCTCAGAATCTGGGTTAGCAGTTTTCGCTTCCAATCTTTCAGGTGGTCGGGTGTTGCAGTCAGGGTTCGTGCTCACCGTACAGCCGCAAGCTCCCAAGAGCCCCCCTCAAACCCCGCAACTTGGGATGTTCCCCCCTATATTAACAGTCCGTACGAGGGATTATAATAGTACCAAAAGGACTGTTACTATACGGGGGGAACATCCCAAATTAAAACGACCTCCTGTGTGAGGCGTGACGCCTGGCACATATGCGCGGCGAATGGAGTCTCGTTGCAAATCTTAAGCCCCAATCCCTAAAACCCCAAACCCTCAACCGACCCCAAGCAGTGTGCTTCTCAAGAGTTCAGTTGGTTTCGAGGCTGCCGATGGTGCCTGTTGGCGGGCTTCAGTATTCTCAAGTTTAGGGTTTAGGGTTTAGGGTTCGGGGGTTTAGGGTCTGCAGCATTCATTTCTGGGTTTTACAGGGTCTAGGGTTTGGGGCGTGTAAACCCAACAACCCCTAAACTCTTGTAACCCGAAACCAAGGTTGACGACCCTCAAAACAGCGGGGAGTTTTAGCAGTGCTGATGAAGTTTAAGGCAAGGTCAACCCCTGCGCAACTCTGAGTGTTACCCCAAACCTTCTGAATCCTAATTGGCCCGCAAACCTACCCAGACAGTACCTGCACTTTAGTGGGGCATTTAAGTATGGTAAACGGTAGGTACGTGTCCTTCGAGCCCTAAACCCCAAACCAATTAAGCAGTTGTTTTTGGCACAATGAAGGGGCTTTCCGCAACTAATCTTCAAAGGTCAGTTACGGGTAAGGTCTTGTCTTTGGGGTTTCCGGGCCACTTCAACCCGCCGAGTAAGCAAGATGCTGGAAAGCGGTACCTCGTCTCAAGAAAGTAAAGCGAAACGAAACAAAAACGAACAGAACTTTCCAACCAGATCACTACTACTACTACTACTACTACTACTACTACTACTACTACTACTACTACTATTACTACTACTACTACTACTACTACTGCTACTACTACTACTACTACTACTACTACTACTACTACTACTACTACTACTACTACTACTACTACTACTACTACTACGGCTATCGCTACTGCTACTGCTGCTGCTACTGCTACTGCTACTTCTGCTGCTACTGCGATTGCTACTGCTACTGCTACTACTGCTACTACTACCACCGCTACTCCTACTACTACTACTCCTACTACTCCTACTACTCCTACTACTACTACTACTACTACTACTACTACTACTACTACTACTACTACTACTACTACTACTACTGCTACTGCTGCTGCTGCTGCTGCTGCTGCTGCTGCTGCTGCTGCTGCTGCTACTGCTACTGCTACTCCTACTGCTACTGCTACTGGTACTGCTACTGCTACTGCTACTACTAGGACTACTACTGTTGCTACTTGGAGGCCTTAAGCCCTAAAGCCTAAACTCTAAACCCTAAGCCCTAAACCCCAAACCCGAAACCCTGAACCCCTAAACCCTCAGCATCAAAGGACCTACTCTTTGGTGGGTCCTAAAAACCCTCTGAAAAAATTGAGATCCTCTTAAACCCAGTAGGGGCATGTATCTCAGCCAGAGCAAAACCCTTAACCCCAAACTGAAACAGAAAAAGACAGAGAGAGAGGGAGAGAGAAAGAGAAACCAAGACTGATTGAACAAACCGGCAAGAAGGAACGAACAAACAAGCAAACAAGAACGACAATAAGAAAGAGTTATAGCGACGGAGCGGGAGCTGACTTTGCGTTGGACTGGACAAACAACCCCCCCTGCCCCCCATGAAGACTTCAACCCTGGACCCGACCTGGACTCGGAATCACCTCACGCTTAATTAACCCCCCCCTGAAAGCAATCAGGGGATTAGGGCTTCGGGTTTAGGGTGTAGGGCAAAGCGATCAGAGGACTACCTGCGGGATTCGCTTCGATATTTGGGCGTGCTGCTGAACGACAACAAGCTCACGGAGGAGTGGCGAAGCATTGTGGGGAAAGACCTGGTGCGGCTCACATCGGACTCTTGGGCTGTAGATGGCGTGCTTCAAGACGTGCTGCTTCTTGGAATGCGGGCATGTAGGACACCTGACACCCTGTAGAACACCTGACATGTGTATAAGGGGATGTAAGGTGCCTGGAGACTCAATTCCCTCCTTCCCTACCTGAAAGCTCCTACTTTTTTGGGGTAGTATACTAGAATCCCCTATAACTAACCCAAAAAAGGGATTACATTAGAGACTCCAGGTGCTGATTCCGACAGTTGCCCGCGTCCTCTCAACTGTGTAAGTTCGCAACGCCGCTGAGCACGATAAACCCTGTCCCCGAGCACATCGATCTTTTGGTCCTCTAGATGGTCCCTTTGCCTACACCCGTGCGCCTCATGAATCATGCCAGTCCAGCCCGGTTTAATCCCTAAACCCTAGACCCTAAACCCTAGCCCTAAACCCTAAACCCAGCACGCGATGCCCAAGGCATGGTTCTTGATCTGCACGTTGAGGGTTGCATCCACGTTGCTGCTGCATGACCTCGCCCCTGTTCTGCGGCCGCAGTTGAGGTGTAGGGTTTTGGGGTTTAGGGTTTAGGGTTTATAGGGTTTATAGGGTTTAGGCCATTGCTTCAGGGCTCAGGTCATTAGATGTATACATACAGACAGGTAATTGCCTTACCCCCTAAACCCGCCAACCCTCGACTCACCCTTGCTCTTGGGTACCCCGGAAGGGCAAACAATTCCGAGTCAGCGGTAGAAACGGCGTTCGGTGTCGCAAGCCCAGAACCTGAAACCTGAAACCCTAAACCCTAAACCCTAAACCCGAAACCCGAAACCCGAAACCCTAAACCCTAAACCCTAAACCCTACACCCTAGACCCTAGACCCTAGACCCTAGACCCTAAACACTAAACCCTAAACCCTCAACCTTCAACCCTAAACCCTAAAAACCCTAAACCCTAAAATCTGCTTTCCCGGTGTAGTGGGGACTTCCAGGCCCCGGACTGGCAAGTGCAGCATCTTATGCGACCGAAAAGCTCTTACTTGAAGGTTTAGGGTTTAGGGTTTAGGGTTTAGGGTTTAGGGTTTAGGTTTTAGGGTTTAGGGTTTAGGGTTTAGGGTTTGCTGTGATAGGGCGTAGATGCTGTGAAGGTTAGGTTTCGGAACAAGCTCGAAAGCTTCGTGAGGTGCTGAAGAGCAGCTTTGGCCCGATTGGCCATCTGACACTTTTCTCCCACCCCACGCCGTCCAAGGGCAAAACCACCCAAACCTATTCCTTTTAGGGTTTAGGCCTAAACTCAGAAAACAGTCCACTTTTCAAAACTTTGATGTTGGTTGAATCCGAGAGTCAAGGGTGCCAGCAAGGCCTCGAAGGTAAGATAGAGGTTTGGAAGTCGGCGTGGCGGGAAAAGAGAGACAGGCTGCCAGCCCAGCGCGGCAGGGCCGGCAGGGGTAGGGAGCCAGGCAGGGGCCAGGGCCACGGGGTTAGGGGGGGCAGGGGGGCCAGGGGGGCCAGAGGGACCAGGGGGGCCAGGGCCTGGCCTAGGGGCCCGGGGGGTACCCCCCCAAAAAAGGCCAGCGATCCTCTGGTACGCACGTGTTTCGAACGGTCATGCGAACCGAGCAGAAGATTGACGTCGGAATGCCATGTGAACTTTGTCTCATCCGTCCCATCAAAGATCATGGATGTCGGGCCCGACTATGTGCTGTGCGGGGCGACTACCGCGACTACCGCGACAAGTCCGACTACTGACGGGGTCAGATGGAGCAGAGAGTGGCGATGGTCTTGGAGTCGGTGGGTGCGGAATGGAGGGGGATCGAGATCAGGATTAACCCATAGCAGAAATTGGCATCCGGATGGCAATTACCTTAGAGGAGTTTTCGCTGAAGCGAGCCGCACTTCCTAATGTAAATCCAGCGCGGTCTTTATTTTTGCCATGGCCTTGCACGACCACTGAGCCTTCTGACGATATCATCCAACAACTGCCGACTACCATATCCCAAAAGCTGCCCAGGATTGAGTCTCTCACGAACCTACCCCTGCTCACATGCCGCCTGCCATACGCCAAACGCCGCCCAGAATTAAGCTACTCACCACCCGCCCCCTTTTCCTGCAACGGCGAGAGGACAAAAGGGAGCTTCTGCAGCTACCATCAGACCCACGTCGCTTGGCAAATGTTTGGGGCTGGCGTGAACTGCCCCACGGGCAAGGCCAACTCCAGCGTGCATGCGCCACAGTGAGCAGCACCGCGCGCTTGAGGGGCCCAAACGGATCGTGCCAACAAACATGCTGTCTATCGCGCCGGAAGCCGTCACCTTTTAGCCGGACTTGAACAGTAGGATAGCAATCTGGCCAAGATAGAAGTAGATAAAGTGCTGCTCATCATGACCGCCGCAGGTTGTTAGTGTCGACATCCAGGAAAGCTTCAGAACCACACCTGTTCACTCGAGGTACCTTTGTCTCGTCACTAATTTTTTTGTTTTGTGTTCCCATCGTGGGCGCTACCGGACCCCATGCTGTGGGAGGCGGGCGAGCGACCTGGGTGGGCTTGCGAGGTCAAAGGGCTTAAGCGCCGCCCCCCAACGTAGGGGGGCGGCCGAGGCCCTGAGTTCAGGGTTTAGGGTTACTTATAACCCTAGTAAAAGTGCAATTAGAGGTTACTTATAGGGTTTAGGATTTAGGTTTTTTTTGAGTTCAGGGTTCGTAAGTGTAGTGATATCCCACTTATCAGCCTCTTAAGTGCCCTAACAGGGTTATAGCTGGGTTATATGTAGAGTTCTGATTGGGTTGCTAAGCACCATGAACCTCCAAGTAAGCCAACTGTTACAACCTTCTGGGTTACCTCCGGCGCCTGGGGTGCTTGCAATAGGGTTTATTGGGGTTTAGGGTTTAGGGTTCAGGGTTTAGGGTTTAGGGTTTAGGGTTCAGTGCTCTTAAAAGCACAGCCGGCCGGGTTTAGATTGTGGGATTTCTTGTGGTGTTCGTTGCAAGAGGTATGCGAAGAAATCTCAAGAATACCTGAACCCTAGGCCCTAAACCGTAAACCTTCTTGTATCACAAGCCCTAAGCCCTAAGCCCTAAACCCTAAACCCTAAACCTTAAACCCTAAACCCTAAACCCTAAACCGGAAAGCCCCTTAATGCCTACAGCATCCCTAGGCTGTGAAGCCCAAGCTCTTAAGGTTCAGGGTTCTTGGTTCAGGGTTCAGGGTTCAGGGTTTAGGGTTTAGGGTTTGGGGTTTAGGGTTTAGGGCTGGGGCTCAGCAAAGAAAGCAAGGCATCAGTGGCTTGCATGCTCTGCTTCGTCGTCTTCGCGTCCGTGCTCACGGCGGTAGGCCTCTGCTGTTGACATGTCCTTGTCTGAGACCCAGACTTGGCCCTCATTCCTCCTTTTGTAGGGTTGGTTTGTTTAGGGTTTAGGGTTTGGGGTTTAGGGTTTAGGGTTTGGGATTCAGGGTTGGTGGCTTAGGGTCCATATCTAGGATCCAGAGTACGCCCTCATTCCCCTTTCTAGGGTTTGTAGGTTCCCTGCTAAGCCCCTTTAAACCCAAAAGGGCACCCTTGTTTAGATTTCTACTTGGAAGTTCATGGTACTTCGTAGCCCAATTCTAACTGTACTTAGAACCCAACTTATAGCCCTACTAGGGTACTTAAGGGTTTATAAGTGGGTTGGAACTACACTTACAATTGCGTTATAAGTGCCCTGAACCCCTAAACCCTAAACCCTAAACCCTCAACCCTCAACCCTCAACCCTCAACCCTAAACCCTAAACTCTGAACCCTAAACCCTAAACCCTAAACCCTAAACCCTAAACCCTAAACCCTAAACCCTAAACCCTAAACCCTAAACCCTAAACCCTAAACCCTAAACCCTAAACCCTAAACCCTAAACCCTAAACCCTACCCTAAACCCTAAACCCTAAACCCTAAACCCTAAACCCTAAACCCTAAACCCTAAACCCTAAACCCTAAACCCAAACCGAAACCCTGAAGCCCTGAAGCCCTGAACCTCCAGGTGGGTTACTCTTGGCAGATATTTGCAAGCCGGAGGCTTCGCCCGTAAACCTTTAGAAAACGTCCCCCGTGAGCCCAAAAGCCCTCAAGCCCGTACTTTCAATGTTCATGGGTAGGGTTTAGGGTTTAGGGTTTCGGGTTTAGGGTTTAGGGTTTAGGGTTTAGGGTTTAGGGTTTAGGGTTTGGGGTTTAGGGTTTAGGGTTTAGGACTTGTCAGTAGGGTTATTAAATGCCATGAGTGCGTTACAACCATAGCTACCCTACTTTTAAGCACTCAAACCTCCCAAACCCTAAACCCTAAACCCTGAACCCTAAACCCTAAACCCTAATTCTCTACGCATCAGTACCCTTTTGATCCTCCATCGTCTGCCCCGCGACCCCCGGAGAGGCTTCGTGCTCATAGCCACCTGGCGCGGGCTTGGCCTGCGAGTCCAGCGGCTCCTGGGCGGTCAGGGTTTAGGGTTTAGGGTTTTTAGGGTTTTTAGGGTTTTTAGGGTGTTTAGGGTGTTTAGGGTTTATAGGGTTTTTAGGGTTTATAGGGTTTAGGGTTTTTTGGTTTTTTCGGGTTTTTAGGGTTTAGAGGGTTTAGAGGGTTTAGAGGGTTTTGAGGGTTTATAGGGTTTAGAGGGTTTATAGGGTTTGAAAGGTTTAGGGCTTAGGGGTTAGGGCTTAGGGTTTATAAGGTTTCGGGCTTAGGGGGTTGGGTTGAGGATCCCCCCCCCCCCTCCCCCCCTAGGGCCTCCTGCTTGTTTTCAACGATTTCTGTCTTTAGGGCTCAGGGCTTTTAGGGCTCGGGGTTTAAAACGTTTGTAGGTTGTTGTTTGCTTAAGAACCCCCCACACAAAAAATATCTCCAGAAAGGGCAATAGAGGGGAATTTATTGTGTTTTTCGTTGGGGTTCTTCAGCAAATAGTAGGTCATCGTCCCCTGATCCCTATCGGCCTTTGACCTTGAACCTTTGATCCTGTTTTACCTGCAGGCTCCTATGTAGTACTTTTTTGGGGTAGTATACTAGAATCCCCTATAACTCCCCCAAAAAGGGACAACATTAGAGACTCCAGGTAATGCTTGGGAGAGTGAGTGCAGACAGACGTGTTTTACCTGGCTCCAAACCGAGGTTCACCGACCCTTTCAGAGAAGAGGACGTGGACCTCGCAATCGTTCAAGGCGAGTGGAGAGAGTTGGGCGCTTGCATGCGCTCCATGTCGCACGCTTTGCAAGTGTGCATCGTGGTATTGGCACTGACTGTGGGCACAGGGTTGATCGCAGTGGCGTTTGACGTGCTTAGAGACGGGTTTGCTTTGACCATGCTGCGGTGCTCTTGTTTGCCTTGCTGACAGCAACTTTGCTCCCCGCGGCGCTTGCAAGCTCGGCGTGTGCTCGTTTTCCTTCCTTCGTTGCCATCTACGACCCTGGCCCGGAGATGGCAGAGAACTTCATCCGGTTCGCAAACTTTGTCGCAATGACCGATTGCGGGTGCTTCCTGTGGGAGACAAAGCTGACGGCAGGGCTTCTTCAACGCGCGATGTCCATCACCATAGCGCTGGCTGCGGCCATCTACCGCAGCGGGATCCTGGTAAACTAGGGGGCCGATTTTAAGCTAACTAGCACCCTTCTAGTTCGCAATGCAACTCAATGACTCAAGAGCCTAATTGGCTCTTCAGCTCACATTTTCCCCAGTCGACTTGAGCATTTAACGCTACAATTCCACCAGTCGGCGGGAGCATTTACGGCAATTTACGGCCACATTTTCGCCTCGTCAATGGCCTTGTTCTTGCGAGGTGGCAACGCGCAGAACGTCGTCGATCTGACTGACACACCAAACTGCACCTCTAGTTTTGGGTAAACCCAGCTCGTCCAGGGTCTGCCAGCCCAAGCTTCCCACTTTGGGTTTAGGGTTAGGGTTTAGGGTTTAGGGTTTAGGGTTTAGGGTTTAGGGTTTAGGGTTTAGGGTTTAGGGTTTAGGGTTTAGGGTTTAGGGTTTAGGGTTTAGGGTTAGGTTAAGGGTTTAATCAAGAAGAGCCAGTCAGGAATAGTCAGAAGCGTGGCGGGATGCGCGTGTCGCTAAAGTATTTGTGCAGCAAAGCCTGGTTAGCAGGAACCTGTCTGGGCTGCCTGGGAAAGAAGGACTTAGGGTTTAGGGTTTAGGGTTTAGGGTTTGAGGGCATGACCCACTGAGGAGTGCACAATCAAATAGGTATACCGGTGTCATAGCATAGCAGTAATTCTGCTGTAGCTACTACACCATATCGCTGTTGTAGTATAGCGCATAGGGTTTAGGGTTTTGGGTGTAGCAGGAGAAGAGTACTATCGATACCACAACAGCGGCAAGATCTGGAAGTCCGCGAGACCATCTTGTCTCAAGCTTGCGGAATTTCCGTCAGTTACCACGACCCCAGGAAAGTGGGCCCTTCACTGGGGGAACCCTTTGTTCCTCCCTTGCATACCCTACCTGAAGGCTCTTGTGCAGTACCTCTTTGGGGTGGTATACTAGAATCCCCTATAACGAACCCAAAAAGGGTCTGCGTTAGAGACTCCTGGTATAAAGTCCGTACGGTTTCACCAGGCAGCCACAAGAAGTGGAGGTTCACGGGTGCTTGTCAGTTGGGATGTTCCCCCTTATACTAACAGTCCTTAGTAGGGACTATAGTACCCCCCCCCCATTATATTCCCTTTTAAGGACTCTTGTCATAAGTGGGAACATCCCAACTTATAAGTATCATAGGGTTAGAAGCAGCTATGGTTGTTGCCCTTTTGGGGGGGACGTATGGACCTTCAAATAGAACCCCTGCTGAAATCCTGCAAAAGATCTGCAAGCGAGGGACCCGGGAGGTCTTCTCGTTTGCCGTTTAAATCTGGCAACCTGTTTGCGTGGGCGCCGCAACGCATTCAGAGAAAACGGTACGGAGGTGGGCCTTGGAGTATGGACTTTAGGTTGAAACGCATGCCATGGACTCTCAGTCAGTCTAGTTGTCCTCGCAATCGGTTGATCTAAGGCCTCCCTGCCCGCAGCGATTCAACCTTGAAGAAAGATTGTGCCTGAATCCAGCGATTGCTTCGGCGTGCCGTTACAGGTGGTGGCGGTGCTGGTGGTGTTGTTGCCACAACGGAAGGATGAATCCCCTTCCAGGCCTCCTAAACCCGAATTCGCAGGAGTTGGGTGTGCAAACTGTCGTGCAGCTAGGTAGGCAACCCAGCCACGTCATCAAGTAAATCCCCGGCACTGCCATCCGTTGCACGGGATCTGTGGACAATATGCCGTTGATCTGTGCACAAGTCGGCCGGCGCAAAGAATCGTGAGGAGTTTGGGAAGGATGAGAGGGCTTGGGGTTTAGGATTTGGGCAGAACCAAAACCCGGAATCTACCTGCAGTCTCTCATGTAGTCCCTTTTTGGGTTAGTTATAGGGGATTAGTATACTACCCCAAACAGGTACTACATAGGAGCCTTTAGGTAGGCAATGTCAAGGAATGCGCGGGCTGAAGTACCACAAAGCCAAAAGAACCATTGGTCATGCGCAGACCAGGGTCGGAAACTCTCCATTCTCCAGGGTTTAGGGTTTAGGTTTAGGGCTTAGGGTTTAGGGTTCACGGTTTATCCCCAACGGCAAACAGCCGCGCCTTGCCTGTAGTGCAAAAAATCCGGAGACATCGAATGCTAGAGGGTCCTATTCTGGAAACGGGTATCAGAAACTTGCCACAACTCCACAAAAGGATTTTCTCATTCGTCACGCAATGTGGCCAAGCACAACAGGTGGATTGAAGCGATCGTTTTAGATCGCCCCACCGCCCGCCGCCCCCCCCCCCCCCCCCTCCCCCCCCCCACCCCCTCCCGCCGCCCTTCCCCGACCCCGCCCCCCCCCCCCCCGCCCCCCCCCGTGTGCAGCTTAAATAGGGTCTATTTGGAAGCTGGGAATCGTATTTACAAGAGGAAAACAGGCCCCAAAACGTATACTTATTCACAAGAGCCATGTTCCAAATAGACCCTATTTTAGGTCCTGTAGGGTTGCACAGACAGAATTTAATTCATTAAATTCCTTAATTTCCACTTTCCCCCTGGAATTTAATGAATTTAATCAATTAATTCAATTAATTCATTTATTTCCAAAGGGGGGGTGGAATTAATTGAATTAGTTGAATTAATTGAATTAATTGAATTAATTGAATTAATTGAATTAATTGAATTAATTGAATTAATTGAATTAATTGAATTAATTGAACCCCCCCTTTGGAAATAAATGAATTAATTAATTAATTGAATTAATTGAATTAATTGAATTAATTGAATTAATTGGAATTAATTCAATTAATTCAATTAATTCCACCTCCCCTTTGGAAATAAATGAATTAATTGAATTAATTGAATTAGTTGAATTATTTCGATTAATTCAATTAATTCAATTAATTCATTTATTTCCAAATGGGGGGGATTCCCCAGCCCCCACCCCTCCCCCCCCTTTGGAAATAAATGAATTAATTGAATTAATTGAATTAATTCAATTAATTCAATTAATTCAATTAATTCAATTAATTCAATTAATTCAATTAATTCATTTATTTCCAAAGGGGGGGTGGAATTAATTGAATTAATTTAATTAATTGAATTAATTCAATTAATTCAATTAATTCAATTAATTCAATTAATTCAATGAATTCAATCAATTCAATTAATTCAATTAATTCAATGAATTCATTTATTTCCAAATGGGGGGGATTCCCCAGACCCCACCCCCCCAGCTCGATTTGGCCAAATTTTGCCCGGAGGCTGCCCGGCAAAATTTGGCCAAATCGAGCCGCGCCTTTCTGGAGGCCCGAAATTATTTAAACTATCGCGGCTCGATTTGGCCAAGTTTTGCCGGGCAGCCTCCGGGCAAAATTTGGCCAAATCGAGCCACGCATTTCTCATCGCATACGAAGGGCAGCCCGATTTGGCCAAATTTTGCCCGGAAGCTGCCCGGCAAAATTTGGCCAAATCGAGCCGCGATAGTTTAAAAATTTCGGGCTTCAGAAAGGCGCGGCTCGATTTGGCCAAATTTTGCCCGGAGGCTGCCCGGCAAAATTTGGCCAAATCGAGCCGCGCATTTCTCATCGCGTTCGACGATCAGCCCGATTTGGCCAAATTTTGCCCGCAGACTGCCCGGCAAAATCTGGCCAAATCGAGCCGCGCCTTTCTGGAGGCCCGAAATTATTTAAACTATCGCGGCTCGATTTGGCCAAATTTTGCCGGGAAGTCTGCGGGCAAAATTTGGCCAAATCGGGCTGCTCGTCGTACGCGCTGAGAAATGCGCGGCTCGATTTGGCCAAATTTTGCCCTGCAGCCTCCGGGCAAAATTTGGCCAAATCGAGCCGCGCATTTCTCATGGCATACGAAAAGCAGCCCGATTTGGCCAAATTTTGCCCGCAGGCTGCCCGGCAAAATTTGGCCAAATCGAGCCGCGATAGTAATTTCGTTCAATTAGTTCATTCATTTCCAAATGGGGGGGATTCCCCAGCCCCCACCCCCCCCTCCTTTGGAAATAAATTGAATTAATTGAATTAATTGAATTAGTTGAATTAATTCAATTAATTCAATTAATTCATTTATTTCCAAAGGGGGGGTGGAATTAATTGAATTAATTGACTTAATTGAATTAATTGAATTGATTCAATTAATTCAATTAATTCAATTAATTCAATTAATTCAATTAATTCAATTAATTCAATTAATTCAATTATTTCCAAATGGGGGGATTCCCCAGCCCCCACCCCTCCCCCCCCTCTGGAAATAAATGAATTAATTGAATTAATTGAATTAATTGAAATAATTGAATTAATTCAATTAATTCAATTAATTCAATTAATTCAATTAATTCCACCTCCCCTTTGGAAATAAATGATTTAATTGAATTAGTTGAATTAATTCAATTAATTCACTTAATTCAATTAATTCAATTAATTCAATTTATTCAATTAATGCAATTAATTCATTTATTTCCAAAGGGGGGGGTGGGGGCTGGGGAATCCCCCCCATTTGGAAATAAATGAATTAATTGAATTAATTGAATTAATTGAAATAATTGAATTAATTCAATTAATTCAATTAATTCCACCTCCCCTTTGGAAATAAAAGAATTAATTGAATTAGTTGAATTAATTCAATTAATTCAATTAATTCAATTAATTCAATTAATTCATTTATTTCCAAATGGGGGGATTCCTCAGCCCCCACCCCTCCCCCCCCTTTGGAAATAAATGAATTAATTGAATTAATTGAAATAATTGAATTAATTCAATTAATTCAATTAATTCCACCTCCCCTTTGGAAATAAATAAATTAATTGAATTAATTGAAATTCAATTAATTCAATTAATTCAATTAATTCAATTAATTCAATTAATTCAATTAATTCAATTAATTCATTTATTTCCAAAGGGGGGGGGTGGTGGGGGCTGGGGAATCCCCCCCATTTGGAAATAAATGAATTAATTGAATTAATTGAATTAATTGAAATAATTGAATTAATTCAATTAATTCAATTAATTCCACCTCCCCTTCGGAAATAAATAAATTACTTGAATTAGTTGAATTAATTCAATTAATTCAATTA